ATTGGCTAGGTCAAACAATCAAAAATTGCCTTTGTGCAGTCAAAACCTTAAAAATGACCATTTTGCCCTTTTGGTGATCTGATCAAATTTCTTGTGGAATTGTGATCCAAACTTGATAAAATTGTCCATATGAGGTCAATATGTTGATGTGGGTCAAAAATCATGAGGTTTGACTGTCAATTGACCACAGTTGACTTTTTCCCCAATACAACTGATTTCTAGGTCAACTGTCCAATTGATTGGGCAAAGATTGGAATCAAGGCCTGAAACTTGGTATGGATAAACTTGTGAGTCCAATATGAAGCATGAAAGTCATCTTAGGCATTTTAGGTCAGAACATCTTTGTGCAAACACAAACCCTAATTTGGGTCAACAGTGCAAGGAGAAGTCTTGAGCAGAGGAAACCCTAACTGGATCTTGAGTTCCCAGGGTCTTGTGATGAGAAAATGTTAAGGAAATGGGAGGGCAAATTTTGGGGTACAACACCTAGTATCTTGACCAGCACACATAGGGAAATAAACCCTAATCCAGGCTATGATGAAATTGAGCAAGAACCACCCTTGTAACATGATGACAAAATTCGTTTCACGATCCACTAATCGAGAACCAGATGCGCTTCCTTTTTACCTGATAAGAAAACCTCAAAACAAGATTATACAAAAAGAGGGCGTAACCCTAATACTTCAAACCAAAGCGCCTGATTCCATGAGATGTGGGATATGCAAATGACTGAATGATAAAATGATGCAAATGGAATGCAAAGTTCAAAGCTAGACAAAAAATAAAGAGATAGGGCAAATTTGGGGTACGACACTTACCAAGTGGATGAAGTTGAAGTTAATGATGTAATTCCGGATGAACACACTACAAGTTTGTATGATACAATGGTTGAGGGGAATCAAGTTGATGAGGATGAAGATCATGAAGATTCTGGATCTGAGGATAGTATCACATCAGATGACGAGGATGATATGGATGACGAGCATGACGATTTAGAATAGTGAACCTATATTAATGAGAATTGTGTCTTGTAATTTTACTTAACGAACCATTTATTGAATGATTTAATGAATATGTATTCATGAGAATTGTGTCTTGTAATTTTACTTGACGAACCATCTATTGAATGAGTTAATGAATATGTATTCATGAGAATTGTGTCTTATAATTCAAATATATTATATGTTAACTTGTATTTTCTATAATTAGGTAAAAATGACACCCAAAGATAATAAGGGTAAAGGTCCTAGTGATAGTGGTAGGAAGCCCAGGCGTCCAAGGGTAGTAGTATGCCAGTCACCTCACTCAGCCACGTGTCCTCCCCCGCAGAGTCAGGTTCATCATATGTCCATGGACAGTACTATGCCATTTACTCCATTACTATCATCTCAGAGTCCTCTTCAGTTCCCATCTGGGAGTACATGTTTTATTAGTCCATCTGGGGCCCCACCTGGTTTACCATTCCAGCAGACACAGGTGCCATCATCCTTCCAACAGACACAGGTGCCATCATCCTTCCAGCTGACACAGGTGCCCTCATCCTTCCAGCACAGTTTTCCATTTCCCGCATAGATGCCCTCATCCGTGCAGCAGCCTGGAGGATCCAGCACCCCACTTCCTACACAGAAGTCCCCATCCATCCAGCAGCCTGGAGGATCCACCTCTTCACGACCCACACAGACAGGTCGCACCCCCACATCTCACACAGAGTCGGATGATGACGATCTTGGTGTGGATGATGATCAGATAGATGGGAGAGATCTTCGAGGGGATGATGATCCGAGTGAGATTCATACCATTGATGGGAGATTTTGGATTTGGCCTGAATTAAACTCATAAGTTTCTTATTTATTGATTTTTATTTATAAGTACACATTTCCATTTTTAATATAACTTTATATAATTAATTATGCTAATTCAATTATTGTTGTTTTAGTTTCGGGCCGAGCCGGACTGCTGCTAAGGTTATAAATTATATAATTCAGCAGAATTATACAAAATTTTTGAAGAGTTTTAGAGAAGTTTCCGATAAAGAAGAATGGTTCAAGCAATTTCAAGTATAATTAATTTATTTCTTAAGTTATTTTTATTTAAATGACCTTTTCATTATTGTTATAATTTATCTAACTATTTATTTTAATGTCATACAACATTGCAGGCGAAATGTGTTTGGGATCCCCTGAACCATAACAAAGTAAAAAAAAAAAATTTGGCAGGAGTTCAAGACGACTATCTGACATGATACGACGTGTTAGAGAGAATTGGCACCTTTTGGGCATTCGTCCCAAATGGATAGGCAAAGAAGTTTTTGAACAACTTAAGTATTGGGAATCAGATGAATTTAAGGCTAAATCTGAAACTGCAAAGAAGAATAGGACATCGGGAAAAGGGGGTTGCCTTAATGCTGTTGGAAGTATTAGTACTGCTGAGCATGCTCGACGCATGGTAATTATTACCACTTTTTAAAGTCATATTTGGATTTATAACATATTATTAATTTAAGTTAATTTTTTTATTTAGGCTAAGCGTTTGGGGAGACAACCATTGATGACTGAGCTGGTTAAGGAAACTCGGACAAAGAAATCAGGAGGATTTATTGACGAGCGCACAAAAAAAGTCCTGGTAAGTAAATTTATGTTATTTTTTTAAAGCAATTTTGTGACGTGATTTTCATGTAGCAAGTGACATGTTGTGGCGTGAAAATTGAGTGGCAACTGATAAGTTGTGGCGTTACAATCACGTGGCTATTTGTTTTTTATTATTTTTTTTATTTCATTTAATTTCATTAATGTTACTTATAAATTTAACTTGATTTTTTTATTGTATGTGTAGGAGGATTATCAGGCCTTGCTAGTAGAATTTCTGACCCATAATCCTCAGTATACTCCTCCTCCGGGAAAACCAGTTCATCCAGATGTGGATTTCTATATTTGGAGTCAAGTTGTTGGGGGAAAGGGGCCTAACGAGTGTTTTTTTGGTGGTGGAAATTTGGCGGGCACCTTGAGGAGTGGGGATAGAAATCTGTATCAGAGAGCTGCAGACGGTGAAGGAGGGTCACGTCAAACAAATTTGACACCAGATCAGTTAGAACTGGTAAGACAATTGGTTAGACGCGAGTCCGAAGATCGTGAAGCGGCATTGAAGGCCCAAATAGATGCCCAAATGGAGGCAATTAGGGGTGAACATAATAGACAAATTGAGGCAATGGCGAAGAGGCAGGCTGATATGGAGGAGCAAATGCGATAATTTATGCAAGCATTTGGTAGAAATCCCAACAGTGGTGGCCAAAATAATAACCACCAAAATAATGATGACTTTCTTCCCGACTTTTCCGACGACTCGAATGATTCTGCTTAGTTTTATTTTATTTTGTATTTAGTTTTTTATTTGTGTAATATAAATTTATAATCATATTGTATATTTAAAAATATTATAAATTTAAATTTGAGTTTATTAAATTTATAATATTAAGTATATTTATTTATACATTTAGATATATTTAGTTTTCTTTTTGATAATTTGATTTATAATATTGTATTTAATAAATAAATTATAATATTTAATTTATAAATTTAATAAAACAAAAAATAATATTAATTATTATAATAGAATTAATATATTTAAAACAAATTTTTTTAAAAAAAAAAAACACAAGTTGCGGCGTGTTTTTCATGTCACTAATTAGTGACGTGAAAAACACGCCGCAACAGCAAACGTACAGATAAATATAAACTTCCTGCTCTGCTCTGCTCTGAACACTTTCATCCTATAAAGTCTGTTGCAGCGTGAATTTCACGTGGCAACGTTGTGACGTGTTTTTCACGCCGCAACAAGATTGCCACGCGCTAAACAGCGACGTGTTTCTTAAGGTGGCAAAAGTTGATTAGTGGCGTGATTTGGATGTTAGCGACGTGGCTTTCACGTGGCAAAATACAAGTTATTTTGTAGTGAATCTATATGTTGTAGTTTGTAAAAAAATTAAATATGATATAATAACAAAGTTTTAAAATAGAAATTTGATAGGGAACTATCATATATTTTAGGTTTAAAAAAATGTATTAATATTTAAAATAGGTTTAATAGATTTTTATTATCCTCCACGATATTATTTTGAAGATTGTTGTTAAGATTAGGTTATATGTTTGATTTTAATCATGTTGAATTTGTATGAACATATTTACATACTTTATTAAATTTTGACGGGGTACTGTTATACATTTTATATATGATATTGTTGGTCGTAAAAAAAAATGTAATTATGATATAATAAAAAAGTTTTAAAATTGACATTTGATGAGAGCTGTCGTACATTTTAGATTTGAAAAAATATGTTAATATCTAAAATAAGTTTAATAAATTTTTAGAATTAACTCATTTGAATTCAACTGAAGTTTGTTAACTCATTTAGATTCACGGATAGATGTGAACATTATCTATGAGATACTAGCTATTGACTGATCATTTTAATGTCTATCTTATAACTATTTTTTTTGTTGTTTTATATAATTGAAGTTATAAAAATAATTGTACGATTTATTATAAATACGAATAATGCTTAAAAGTTATACATATTATGAGTATATAATTGATACTAAATGAATATTTATGAATTGCGAAATAAATTATATTATGTTTGATATTCCAAACACATGAATTAAAATTTGACAAATGATTTTAAGTTATAACTATATCAATATTATTTAACTGAAAATATAATGTCATACTTAACAATTTAGTCATTGATACGTGTAATGTGAATTCCCATTGGTTTCTTAATAGTTGCTTATTATACAATTTACCCTTAGTTAATGCTATGATATTGAATTGTTACTATATAGAGCAGCATAAAGGCACTGAAAGAGTGCAAAAAGAAAATTAGAAAAGATATGACAAAGCATGTTTGTTCTCTTAATTGGAGTGGCATTTGTAAGGGTATGTACTAATAAAGCAATAAAAAACAAAAAAGATAAGTAAAATATACCAAGAATAAAGAAACCTCATTAACTACGACTCCCACTTTCCTCAAACATCAATCCTTTTAGACTTTTGGCCAACCAAATAGCTGTCTCCCTTGAGGACACCTTATCTTTTCCAAAGGGTTTCAGAACAACTGCAAGTTCCTCCAATCTATTTTGCTGCAGCAAATCTGCACACAATTCTAATAGGCCCTCAAGTGCCTCAGCTCTCTGCTTGGAAGATTTAACATCCAAAGATTCTTTTTCTGGCATTTCCTCTTCGGATGTTGGAGGGCTATATTTGGTATATTTAGTGGAATCAGGTTTTGAAACTAGAGAAGCAGGATTGTTTGCATCTTTCTTTTCAACACCAGGATGGTCAAAAATACTTGACTTCAAGCTCAAGTTTCTGATTCCCAAATTATCAGTGGTAGGTTCAGAGCAATTTGAAGATTTAAGGGACCATAGAGTTCCGGCGTTTCTTATTTCTAAATCATCCTTTATAATTTTGATAAGTTTACCAACATGTACATCTGTAGCTCCCATCTCCATTGATTCCATTACTGAAAGCTCACTTCCCATATGGTAACTGGTATGGCGTATAACATGGATGACATCATGAAGAGCTGGGGGAAGATGGCCAGACGCTGGCCTTTCAGTTTCTAGATCCTGTAGAAACATTTCCTTCTCTTCTTGTAAACCTTTTTGGCTTGAAATTTTGTTAGATATAACCAGAGGAGCAGTTTCAGCCACTGATGACATTCTTTCCCTCACCTTGAATTTGTCATCATGAGTCAATATGCCCATAAGTTTCGGCTCGTGAAAATTATGAGGCTTATTATTTGACACACTTACTAGACTAACTTCACAAACAGACTTTTCTTCAGAAATGGTAAGTGAATCGAGAGAATTGATTGAAGCTATTCCCTCAGAAATATCTTGAAGGGATTTGATTTCTTGTTTGACTTCGGCAGAGGGACCATCGGACTCACAGGCAGCAGATTTAGTTGTTAGATTTATGAGAAAAATGTCATCAGAAGCATACATTACCTCAGAATGTTGATCTGAGTGATCCAGAGTTAACCTGGGACTTAAGTTCTCATTAATAGTAATGGAACTCTGAAAATTTGATGTAAAGGTAGAGGTTTCACCAGACAAATTTTCAGCAGGTCCACTGATGTCTGGACGCGATTTCATTTTTTCAGTGAGATTAAAACTCTCATGTTCAGGAAGTGTTGGCTCACTCATATCAATATAAGTGGTTGCAAAGTCAGAAAGTTCGGATCCTTGAAAAGAGACTGATGATGAGACAGATTTGCTGCTGTCTGTTTGCAATCCTTTGGTGCTACTTTCAATAGCCTTCAAAGGCTCTCTAGAAGCATGTGGTGGATGACTATTAGTCAGCTGATGATGGACCATCTTAGACTCCTGAGCTATTTTATTTGGATCTAACCTTCCTGTATCCTTTGCTGCATTTGGGATATCATTTTCAGCCAGCCTTATACTTCTCAGACACGAGGGTGTCTTAAGAAGACTTGGAGGAGTTTTTTGTTTTGGCCTTCCAGGAGCTCCACCTTCTGCTACTACTTGTTTCATAGGACCAGATGGCAATGTTACCTTATGTCGAGGTTTTGTTTTAGGTGTAGATTCCATTGGTAACTGCTGTCATGGATTAATACGCAAGAAATAAGTTTCAGTATCATAAAGATATCCTTATAGGTACTTAGTAGTTAGTATATCATTCTAATGGTAATGTACCTGATGTTTAGAAGCATGAGACCCCTGGATTTGTTTTGCATGATTAAGGGTTGCTTTTGAAGGTGCAATAGTTGGCACATATAAATTACACTTCAAACCAGTAACACCAAAATCAGGTCTGGGCAATTTAGACAATGTCTCGTTATTTATTTTGTGTATTGATGTACCACTGGCCATCACCCCATTGCCTCTCATTGGATGGATTGTCTCTCTAACTTTTTCATGTTTTGGTGCCATCATTACATTCTTAGTTGTTTTTGGTTGCCTAGATCCAGCATTAGAATGGTGTTCAATGTGAGGTTTCTTCGTAACCTCCTGTTTATCGGTTTTGGCATTGAAATTGCTGGATCTATTTCGTTCTCCAGCATGCATTAGAAGCTCAGACCCATCATCATCAGTCAATGCGATGTCTACCTCGGTGATTTTGTCATCACCCTTTGGTGCAGCTTTTGCAATGTTTCGCTCATTTAACATCAAATTACCTTTGCCACCTCTCAAACTATTGCTGTTTTCACTTTGTACCATATTTTTTCGAGGATCATGGACAACAGAAATTGGCTTTTCAGGAAAAGAGGCTGCTGCTGGAGGACAGAGAGGTGAACAATATTGATGTACATAAGGCTGCAAATAAGGGTGCTTTAAGATTTCGGATGCCTGTGAATTACATAAAATGAAAGCTTTCAGGATAACTAATGATGCAAAACAATTTTTCACATTGGAAATAATGTTACTCTTTAAGAGAGGCTTACTGTTGGACGGTGCTCAGGGTTTTTCCTCAGCATCCCTTTTATCAGTATTTTCCTGTGCATATGAAGTTGCAGTTTAACATTTCCAGTACATAAACATGCACAAATGAGAGAGATTAGAAAATAAAAAGGAAAACAAAACTCATCCTCCTATCTATATGAATGGCAGGAAAAGCAACGGATAAATAAGTTTGCATTTGTTTTTAATGTGGCACTGATAGTTCTCAACTTCATGTTCAATGACGATGCTTACCGTGAAAACCAATGCCATTCCTGATAATAAACAAAATTTTGAAGTGGTGCAAAAAAGCAGTGTCTAACTGTTCCCTTAAGTTCACCAACACAAACATGTGCGTCTATACTAGTAATTATATCTTTCAGCCCTACCTACTTGTTTTCAGCAGGTTATCTGACCTCAATTCATCACTGACTTTCTATCAACAAATGATATTAGATGCCAAGCTTAGCAAAAATAGACACTTACAAGGATGGGGAATAACAGGGAGGCAAAGCACCAATAGAGGGACGGTTTATCTTGCTTATCAATCCGCCCATATCCTGAAACAGTACCATTCGTATCAAGAAAAAAGAACTATGATGATATCTCCACTTCAATAAATATCCATACAATAGTGAGAGTCACATAAAGGCTAAAGGATTACCAACTCAAAATCACAAAACAATTCTATTAAAAAGTTCAGGAAAGGGAAGAAAACTGAATGTTAGGAAGTTACCCCACCTTTAACAAATATCAGTCAAGTCTACTTAGAATACCAAAATAAAGTTAGAACTCTATCACAGATAACAGAATAGGGGCTAAAATATAGGCCTGAATGAGGATTCTGACAAGGTTGTGGCATGTACCAACTGAAAATAGAAGAAATCTTACAAAAGCTTTGAAAGCAGGGCGGTGAGCAGCCATCTCATATATACAACACCCTGTACACAAAAATGTAGTATTGAAACTGCAGCAAAACCCATATCAGATATTCGTAAGAAAAATAAAAAATTACCTAGTGACCAAATATCAGATTTGAATCCATAAGGAATATCGGCAAACAGTTCAGGGCACATGTAGTTGGGAGTTCCAACGACCTGCAAACAAATATTTACAACAATTAAATTCCCGTACAACTATCTTCAATATAGCAACAAATCGAAGCCTTCTGTTCTTATGAACAAATTAAGTTTTGGGGAATAACATTTGGAAGGGAGGTGTTCAATTTTACTGCATGGCGTGTGTCTGCGCGCGCGAGTGTGTGTCAATTTTAAGAGAGAAAACACTGGGAAGTAGGAACAATATGAAATTGAAACCATAAACTCATAGCTCAACTTCATTGCTTTTCTGCATATTGTGTTAGCATGTATGATTCATCAATACTATGGTATGGAGACATGTCAGAGCAAAATTTAAAGAAGAAAGCATAGAAGTCAAAGAAGAAAGCAACAAGTTCCCAATTTCACACGTACCGAAGAAGTCAAATCATCCGCTTTTAGTGTCTTAGCAAGCCCAAAGTCCCCTATATAAATATCAGGAAATTACTGACAAATTAAGGATGAAGAATTAATCAATCATCTATGTCCAATGTAAATAAAATTGGTATATGAACTAACCCAGGCGAACATCATGATCCTTGGTGAGAAAGATGTTAGAACACTGTCATCAGAGTTAGACAAAATTTAACATGGTATACTCTTAAGTGGAATTTAAAAAGAATAAAATGCCATGTAGTTTTTTTCATCCATGTTATACCTTTAGGTCACGGTGTAAAACAAATTTTGAATGCAGGTACTCTACTGCCAACAGTAATTGAGTAATCCATTTGCAGAGTTTCTTAGCAATGTCAAACACTTCCAACGTTAGCAACCAAAAATATTTAAGCAAAAATCCTAAATTGAGGAAAGTCAAAATATTAACAAGAATACCTCCTCAGGAAAGTAAACCCCATTTGATTTTTTCATCAATGCTGCTCTGAAATGATTTGAAGTGAAAACAAACGTAACAAATTTAAGCAACCCGAATTTTTGGCTCATCAACATATAAATGACATTCTGAATACAAGTATTATCCGTTGACTCACATGTCTCCACCTTCACAATATCCAGTAACAATGCAGACAAAGCAACCCTACAATACAAGTAAAACAATCCACAAACTTAAATGAAAAGGAACCAAACAATCACTCACTTGCTGTATAACTATCTGTAGTATACAACAGAGAGAGCACAGCACTGAAAACATTACAAATTGTTGAAGTGTGTTAGAACAAGCTAATGGTACAAGTGATTTTGATCTTGAATTAGATTAAGTTTGAAGAGATGTAAATTATGTTTCAACATTCTTACCATGGAATCTAAAATTTTGGACACATTTTAATTCAATGCAATAACTTCTTTTATCACTCTTAATATTGAAGTTTGGAGGCAAAATCAATTTACTAAAATGTTAGGTTTTATACTTTTTATCATATTAAATGTTTTTAAGGTCATGTATACTTTATAAAAAAGTGTTCTAACTTTTATGATAAGATGGCTATTAATTAAAACATTTTATTTTAATACAATATGCCACATTCATATTGATTTTTCAAATTTTAAGAGAATTTTTTAAAAATAAAAATTAATAAATACATCTAATAATTCAAAAGGAAATTTGTGTTTAAGATTTTTTTTCTTCCTAATTGATTTTTCAAATTTTAAGACAAATTTTGAAAAATTCAAAATTTATAAATACATCTAATAATTTGAAAGGAAATTGATATTTAGGATTTTGTTTTTCTTCCAATAGGTGTTTATAATTAGGAAACAAGAGTAGTTGCTAACCTTGTCAACCCAAGCCTCCTTGAATTCCACAATGTAAGGGTGCTTAATCCGAGCAATAAGATCCATCTACGATCCCAAAATCTAACTACAATGCTTCAAATTAACAATCAAGAAAACTTAATCACAAAACAAAAATCGATACCTCATGATCAGCAGATTTTCTACACCGTTGGGTTTGCCGGGCAAGCCTAATTTTCTTCAACACGTATCTGCAACAACAACAAATTAATGAAAACGAAGAAGATTCAATCGAAAACCCTAACACAGAACAAAATGGCGCGAACAAGTTAAACGTGGCAGTAGTACCTTTTCTTCTCCAGCTTGTGATTAACGAGAATCGCAGCACCAAATGCACCACGACCGATCTGTTCCATGATATCGTACTGATCCATTCTAGAAACCATTGCCATTTTCAGTTTCAAAGAAAAATCAATTTCACGGTTTCGTTCTCTACTGCATTGCTTTTGTAATGTTTGAGAAATCAATGAACGTCTTTTCTGCCCTTTTCCATTACTCTTTTACCAATTCGGTTGTAACTGCATTGGCAACACTCGTCGTGACTCAACTGTGTCTCACAATTAAAACAATTAATTAATTGTTTTATCAATTATGTTAAAAGTGGTAGCGAAAGCAGTTGAAAATCCATCAAAATCCAAGATGAATATCTACTTATCTTAATGAATAAGATTGACATTATCACACAATGACAATGAAAAACAAGAAGAAGAAGAAAAAAGAAGAAAGAAGACAATTTACTTTCTCTATTTATAAATTTAGATTAGTTTGCTCTCTATAAAAGTTTAAAATATATATTTTAAAACTAAATCATATCTATCTATTTTACATCTAAATCAAATATATATAAATCTAAAATTAAATTTGTGTGTAATAAACTGTTTTCACACTTCTAAATCAAATCAAATCTTTTCAACATTCTCTTGTCTCCGTTGAACAAACTATTTTGACACAAAGAATTACTTTCAACGTAAGCAGCTGGAGGACTGGTTTCTCTCTAGGATGAGCAGAGAAAAATTTAGAGAGAGAAAATAAGAGTCACGGTTAGGGGTATGCATTTAAAGCTCGTCCACCAACTACTTAGTACTTTCCACCTTTCAATTTTTTTTCTTCACACTCTTGTTCTTAGCGGAATGGGACTCTAGTAGTTCATTCGATATTCTCTCCGATATCACTGTTTTTTAGTAGGACCCCATTTACCATTTGAGTCAAATTATTTAATTTTTATTGTTTTATATTTGAACAAAATATTTATGCGTACAATCACAAATATTTTAGAGTTGGACACTTAGATACGGGTGTTCAAAATCGAACTGACCCAATAAAAAATTGTTAATCAAGTCGAACAAAAACGAAAAATGATAAAAAAAATTATATTTAGTTCGGATGTATTTGAGCCAATTTTTAACATAACCGTGTGGTTCAGTTCAAAATCATGCATAAGAGTCAGACGGTTAGGGGTATACACTTACAGCTTGTCCACACCTTTCAATTTTCGGTCTTTATTGTTTCGTATTTAAGCAAAAACATATATTCGTACAATCACAAATATTTTAGATTATATGGCTGTTTAAAATTAAACCGATCCAATAAAAAATTGTTAATTAAATTGAACAAAAGCAAAAACCGTAAAAGAATCATATTTAATTTTGATGTACTTGAGTCATTTTTTAATAGAATCACGTAATTCAGTTCAAAATCGTGCGTAAGAAAAATATTAGTTGTACTTGTCACTAGTTTGGAAACTGTTTAATTCTTGGTAGAGTAAGAAGTAGTATATATACCGTTTCTCTTTCTAATGTTGAGGCTGAATACGTAGTCACTGATAGTTGTAGTGCACAAGTCTTATGGCTAAAACAACTGTTGCTAGATTTTAATTTAAAACTTGAGTGCATTCCGATCAAGTGCGATAATACTAGCCCAATAAGCCTCACTAAGAATTTGGTATTTCACTCGCGAACTAAACATATAAAAATACAATACCATTTTCTTAGAGACATTTTGAAAAGGGAGACATTGTTTTTTAATACGTTAATGCGAAAAATCAGCTTGTTGACATTTTTACAAAACCATTATCATCATAACTTTTTCACAAAATTTATAGGAAATTGGGAATCTTGGATTCCTCGTATCTTAAATAGGTTGGAATTTCTATTTAGTTTCGTTTGTTATTTGTATTTTGCTTTTTTTTATTAACAATCTCTTATTACAAATCATATGTCTATATAAATCTTATATTCGGTTATAGCATTGTGTGTATGTTTGTTCTGTATATATTTATTGGTTTGCTTATTACATTCTTAATTTCATTCATCTCCTACATGTTTTTTGTTTTTCATTTTTCATTTAAAGTCTTTTTAAATGTGTGTTGTTTATTATGTACATTTGAACATTCACATACTTATTGATACATTATTTAACCTTCATTCTAAATAGTTTAATATGATGTTGCATATCTATTTGCATGTTTGTTGTATGTAACATGTCTATATTCATGTAACATGGTATCTAATTTATGAGAACATAAACAACCTAATCATGTAATCAATTTCAATTATCCACAGTTCTACACCAATTGAAATTGAAATTGAAGATTATACCTTGATAATATATCCTTATTAATTTTAGGTTTAAATAGTTTTTTGGTCTCTGTGAGTTAATATATTTTTTATTTTCGTTCTTATATTTTTTTTTTGATAAAGTCCTTAAATGTTGAATTTCATTTGGTTTTAGTTCCTAAAATAAAAATTCGTAGGAAAATCTGCAGGTTTCCTGCAGATTTTAATTTTAAGGACTAAAACCAAAAGGATTTTAACATTCAGGATCATTTCTAAAAAAAAATAGAGGAACGAAAATAAAAAACACGACAACTTACAGGGACCAAAAAATTATTTAAACCTTAATTTTATCTTTCATAACTCTAGCGTAGTGTCAACTAAGAATTTTGCTGAAAACCCTCGATCAATGACAATAATAAAAGGTTGATGTTAATCGATTTTAGATATTTGCAAAGTTAATTTCTGAGAAAATTAAGTTATTTTGTGGTTATAGAAAAATTAAATTTTTGAATCTTACAAAAATTTTCGAATAAGAGGAAAAACATGAAAAAACAAGGGTCCAGCCTAAAATAAAATAAAAATATTTGAAGGTCTTCAACTTTGATGATTCGAGTGATAATTTATATATGATTAAAGAAAAAGATAAATATTTATAAGTGATAATTTAATTAAAGAAAAAATCAAATATTTATAAAAGTTTAACGACTATGATTAGCAGAGAGTGTAAAACTTCTTTACACTGCCGATATATTTCAATTAAATTTATAATATAATAATATTTTGTGTTTATTTAATATAATAAAAATAGTTTTCAACAATAATTATTTAAATCAATTTTTTGAAGAAAAAAATCTATCAAAACAACTTTTCATTTCAAATACTAAATTATTAAGTATTTATGACAAATAAAAAATATTATGAGCAAATAATTCTTTATAATATATTAAAACTTTATGGCTAAATACTAATTATAAATTAGATTGAGACGCGCATGATGCGCGGGGGCATTGGTGAATTTTTTAAGTAGTATTTGATTATATAAATTTTAATTTTGTTTAATATAAAAAATATTATAATTAAGTCGATAAGATGAAGAAGATAAAAAAGAGAGAACAACTTTAAATAAAAAATATGTTTGAATTGTAAATATGATAAATAAGAACTTGCTATTTAGTTTTAAAATGTGAAATAAGTGGGGGGAAATTCAATAAAAGTTTTATATTTTCATTATTTTTTTTCTAACATTTTAAAAAATATTAAATCTTTATTATTTTATGGATGTGAGACATTATACATTCAAACGACTTAGATTCTATGTAACCAATCATAGTTAATATTAAGATAAATAATCTTTTCGAAGAATATATTTTTAATTTTACATTTTATTTCTCACAGAAAATAGACATGTCTAATAGGCTTCGTTGAATATCAAATACTTAAATCATTAAGTTATATCATTATATTTTATTAAGATCGTGGGAATTACTTTATTGAAACAAATGATCTTTAATCTTTTATTATTCTTAGGTGAAATTTTCTTTAATTAAAATTTGTGAAAATGATAATCTTAATTTTAAAGTATTTATGAATTTTATGAAAATGATACATTTTAATTTTAGAGTAATTCTTTCATTAATGTTGTATGTGGTTATTTTAAATATTATTTAATTTTTTATACATATTTTTATTATTTTATTATTTAGTGTAAATCTTTTAAGTTTAATATTTTGTTTTTTTTGGTCTTACTGAATCTGTTCACCTAAAATCTAAGCTTTTGTAAGTTTTTAATTAATTATTTAAACTTGAATTTTTTTTATAAAAAAATTTGTATTATATTAACTTAAACTATTTGACTATATTGACTAAACTTATAGAATCAATGTTATCTTTCACAAATATATTAACAATGATGAAATATATGAAAAGATTGCAAAAAAATAAAATAAAGTATTCTATAAGGTTTATACAATTAATATGTCTTTTAGTATTATATTTATTTATATCTATTAAAGTTATTAGTAATTAGTTGTTAAAATAATAGACTTTCTTGTAGTTAACGGGTGTTGAATCGGGGATTTCTAGTAGAGAATATGTCTTTTTTAAAAAGTGAAGATGAATTTTTATATGTCACAAGGAATATATTTGACGTGACAAATTTAGATGATATGGATGATGAAGTGTCGAAGTAAGAATTTAAGAGGTGTCATTGAATTGTGTGATGCATTAGATTTAATAGATATAAATAGATTGTTAGTTATATTTGTGTATTTAAAGACAGACGAATGATTACGACGATTGATCAAACAGCCTTGTGAACTATCGTAAAAATATTAAAAAAAACACATTGCGACAATTAGATCTCAATTATCTCAATTCAAGTATTCTAAACGTGTATTTATAAAGGCAGTCGAATGATACGACGATTGTTCAAACTGCCTTGTGAACTGTCGCAAATATATATAAAAAAACACACATTGCAACAATTAGATCTCAACTATCACAATTCAAGTATACTAAACTGACAATTTTATTCTAGTGAATGATATTCTTTTTTCTCACGGTGCCATGTCTCGAACTAAGTATCTCAAGGTTGAAGGGTAGCCTTACAATGAAGTGACCTTTAATTATTTATTTAGTCATGTTGGGATATTAGACCTAATCCAAATTGTGTAACCTAAGCCCAAGTACAATTAGGGTTTGTTAGCCTACTTAGTGTATAAGTTAGGTGTATATAAATAGTCATAGTTTGTATCATTATTTGTAACAAGTCAATTTAATAATACAATCTTTATTTCCTTATTCTTTCTCTTTCTCCCTGCAATAAAGGTGCATCATGC